ATGCAAAAGGAAGATTAGCATGTCTCCTTGTCTTTATTTTATAGAGAGCATATATGCATCCAGGAAAAGTAGAAGAGCGGAATAAATACTGATATATGTATTTGCTAGCACATGAAAATGTCAGGACTTCCAGATATGATATGATATGATATGATAATCTAAAATGAAACAGAACACTCCCAGAGAAAATAAAATATTATTTTGTGTTGTGGTTAAAGTCTTTGAAAATACTGTTATCATTAATCTGAATTCACTTGTATAATTGGCAATTACTTTGTTACTGGAGAAAGAGGTGTCTGATTTCTGAGAATGACCCTTCTGCCTTTGTTTTCCATTCTCTTTCTTGTTTCATTGGGGTAAATAGATATACATTTTATTTTTGTCATTTCTTAGGATAAGATGTAATATAATAGCTTCTAAAAAACTTAGTAACAGGAGACAGGAGTTGAAAAATACCAAGGAAAACAAAATAAATTATATGTATGGCTTTTGTTGGTAAGAAAATATGGGGTGACAAACAAGATCCCACCAGCTTTTAACCTTCCAGTATTCAGTGAGTTATGCAGCATTTTCACAAAAAAAACCCCAAACAAACAAAAAAAACTCAACCAAACAGCCACACCCCAAACCCCCAACATCCACCAACCAAACATTCAGGACACATGAACACCTATTTTCCTTGAACATTTTCTGTTTGCTTCTAAACATATTTCACTTCAATGTAAAGCTTCCTAATGATTTTTTTCTTTAGGTTCCTAACAAGGCAATTCAGGTGCTGAATATTTCAGGTCTTAGGATCCATGGCATACAAAGCAACAACTGCAGTATCCCCCACTCCTTCAGCTACAGCTGAGCGTGGGCCCAGGTCAATCTCAGTAGCAGCAATTTTGTGCTTCCATCTCTGAAAAAAATTACTAAAACATTTTTCTGAGCCACCATAAGAAACCTGCTGCATGTGCAGGGTGGAAAGACAGAACCATTACAACACAGGAACTGGCTGTGAGTGTCTGACAGCACTAAGATAATTAATTGTAATCAAACCATCATTCAAATCCACTGGCAATGCTCTCCCTTTAAGGAGTCTGATAAATCTCAACTGTGCTTTGGTGCAAGAGCAACAGTCAGAAATCAGAATATTTGATCTTATTCTGGAAATGTGTTTGCTTGTGAGTGCCAAATAACTCCAGCTTGGCCAAAACCTGGGCTCTGTGAATAGTGAGCAGTTTCAGAGTGGAACACAATCCCTGGTGAGGCTGTGGTATTGCAATTAATAGTTGGAATGTCTTTGCTTCAACACAACTCTCATTTTGCAAAGCTAATACCAAATTATGAAGAATTTTCTTGCAAATATAAAAGAAGGGCTCATTTAACAAATATGGATAACTGAAAAAGGATAGATTTCTTCTCTGGTACATGAGCAATAAGTTAAAAAGAGTTGCTCTTATGTTAGTCTAGCGATAAGGATTTTGCTTACGGAGCCCTGGGCATATAAAAATAAATCCATAGCTGCAGTGTAGGTTTAGTGCCAACACATCAGTGATCACAAAGAAAGCGGATTTAAATTACCCATTTTTCCCGTGGAATTTAGTCTCCAGTATAATTTGGAAACAGATCAGCACAGCTTAACTGTATCAGTAAGGATCTTAATGGAATTTCACAGGATCCACCAGAGCACAGACTCCAGAGAGCAGATCTGAGCTGGAGTCTTGCTTTCTCCTTCCCACCTCTGTGATGTGAAGCCCGGCAGAGGCTGGCGATGACAGCAGCAGCTGGGCTGGATTTATTTCAATGGGCCAGCTGGGGAATCCCTGTGGAACTCGTCAGGCCAGTTCTGAGGCTGCGCTGTCACCAAAGCACCCTGAACTAGCCAGCCCAGTCAACTACAGCAACTGGATTGTGCTGTGGAATGTTTTCCTCTTTTTTTTTGAATCTGCTTATCAACCAGGTCAACTAAGAATACAGCACTTCTGAACATGAATGATCATAGCTCAGTTAGGTAGACACCATATTTTTAAAGAAAATTTGACATTAGTTTAAATGATGGAGACAGGTTTGTAAAGAAACGTGAAGAAGAGGGGAACATTCCTTTTTTATTATGTGAACTCCCACATGCGATGTCATGAGGAATTTGAGTGGGAATTTATTTACAAAACTGGGACTTACTGTCATTACACTGAGCTGAAGCAGGGGAAAAAATTACCATGCTATAAGTCAAATGTCACAGTAGAATTTAATATGCTGGAATTCTTGGAAAGTGTTCTAATGCCTTCAGCTCAAAAGCAGCACATACTGCTTTTTATAGCTTGGAATTTTAATTATTATTAGTTTTTGGCAATCCCCATAGTCTGCTGGCATTTTCTAAGCCACAGAGATTAAAACCTGAAGAGAAACAGAAGGTGGTAGGAAAGGGAAGAATGCCTAATTGAAGTACTCAACATCTACTTATCCATGACATACTAATACAGATATGTGAGCAGGAGTGCAAGATCAAGACATTATTCCTACCTTCTCCCCAAATGTGCCACTGTTAACCAACTGAATTCTCCAAACAGCCAAAATAGGTCAGACAGAAGTAGGCAAGTGACTGTATCACTCGTATGTAAGGGATGGCAGTATAGTACCTGGACTGAGCAAAGAGTAGCAAAATACTTTGCCTGGAGAACAGAAAGGAATTCTGGAAATGTTGTGTCTTCAACCAAATCCCAGTGTCAGGATCCATGGCACTCACATACTATTCTTAGTGGATTTATGGGTAAACAAATTCCTGCCCTGCAGTGCTTTCAGTATGAAGACATGTTGACATGACCAGGTTTCCACAGTCTCCACCTCCCTTCCTCCACTTTTAACATTTCTATACATACTTTATCTTACAAGGCAAATCCAGCCTCCTTCACCAATTCCATCTGTGTCCACTGCATCTTCCCTGGACATGTCACTGTGGCTGCCACACAGCCACGAGTGAAGGACATGAGGCTCAGACAGGGCAATCCCACAGTTTCCCACTCCTTTGCTCTACAAGCCACCTCCTGCACCCCTCCACCAAGATGCTGAATGCACTTCAGAGCCTGCTGCCTACTCATGAATCCTTTTCTCACGCTGCTCCAGACTCCAGCGTGCACCTTCTGGCTCCAGACTGTTGACTAACTTTCTTAGCCACTCTGAGGCTGTGACTCAGGTTTGCTGCTAGTGGCAAGAACACATTCACATTGTGATGAACATCTGGAAAGAATACTTTGGACACTGTCATTTTGACCATGGCAGCCAGGGGATGATTTGGGTACCAGCTCAGGGCAGCTTGCTCACTGTGTGTGTGCAGCACTCACTCGTAGCAGAGCTGTGTATGGAGAGGTGAAGCAACTCTACCACAAGGCTCCACGCCCGTGTCTGATGATGTGTTTGCTCTGAGCATGAGAGACAGTCTTCCCAGTGATGCCATTGACCAGAATGGTTTTTACTGGGGGAACAGGAAAAAGAATTTTGGGGAAGTTCCTGGGATGCAACAGTGAGAGAGGTGCTTCTATCCCAAGCAAATCCTGAGCAACAAATTGTCCCTCTGAACTTTCAGGGGAAATATTCTCTAGACCTGTTCTGCACCAGATTGATGGGATGCCCTATGCTCCCTCTTCTCACTCCAAAATGTACTTCAAAAATGAAAGAAAAGAAGGATACATCACTAGCAACTAATTAGTACTTCCTATTATACTTTCTATTGCTGATTCCAAATTAAGTAAAAATACAGAGCACTTTCCTGCTGGGTGACCAACTTCACAGAATCCCCTGCAATCAGAGATTTAATGAACTCTGGCAATGCAGTATTGTCTGTAACAAAAGGATTTTCTCAGTACAGAGTGCTCTCTGCACCACCTCTGCTTCCACCTTTACACTTTTCAACATTTCCCTAAGAGGAAAAGCATTTGCATGAAACAAACACCAAAAATGTCACAGTATAAAAATATCCTTTAGGATTTGTTATATACTATATGCTATAATGCTGGATGCTATATGAATAATAAAGCATTACACAACTTGTAAAACTGCAATATTCATAGAATTGCTCATGTAAGTTTTATATAAAATTAAAACTTTGATTTGTCATGGAAGCTTCTTCAATGATTAACATTTATCAACATCCAACAGTCAAAAGCTATCAGATGTCAGTGTTGTCCTCGTTAATCCTTTTCCCCTGGGAAATGTCTTAAGGATCTGTAGGCTGCTATACTAAGCTCCCCTTCAGCACACAAAATTCATCCAGATATCTGCAATGACAAAGTTCATACCAGATAATTTTTGTTATTCTGGGAGGGACTGAACTTCTTGCCACTGAAAGAGATGGCTTTGTAGTTAGCAGTCAAACACTCATAACCTCTTATCAGTATTTCTCTGGGCCTTCTCCTACTTTCACAAGTCTCCCTGTAAACTTAACGCTTGAAATTTAGTTATACAACTTGAATTTTCACTGACTGATTAGGACAGATGATAAGAGAAACACTGCTCTTGCTCATCATTGTTTCTGTCACTTATTTTACCATACTGCCAACACAGTACTTAAAATCTTCTTTGGAAAGGCTGAAGAAACTGCCTTCTGGACACAGAAAAGCATCTCATTTACTTGGGAACAGTAAAATTCTCTCTAATGTGCTCTTTAAACCAGTCATGAAACCCAAGATGGTAACATATGGTCTGCTAGGAATCACCTTGCCCTTCTCCAGTCTCAGCAGGCTAGGGCTTTGTGAAAATTTACATCTACTGAAAGCCATTAAATTTTAAGACCAAGGAAGACTTGTTCGGGTGTTCTCAGCCTTAAACCTTCTATTTGTCACCTGTTACTCCTAGACAGATGAACTCACAGATGGGAGAGACTGCAGATCAGAAATTATAAACCTTGAAAGCACTGAAGTACAGAAATAGCGTTGTAGAAATTCATTGTTGCCACTTCTCCCGTTCCCAGGAAAAATGGAGACCATGATATCGATATTTATTGACTTTGTTTTCTTTTCAAGGGTCTCTGCAGGGGCAGCCATTGCACCCAGGAGCAGGAGCAAACCCACCCAGCTGCAGGAGAAAACAAGTGAGCCATCAGTAACTTGAAGAAATACCAAAGTGGGGCACCAAATTCAACGAGCTACTACAGGTGTGGGAACTGCATGAGTTGATGTTCTTGAAATGATGGAAAACTGAAAACAGAGTTTCTCCAGACCACACTCACTGTTGAGCATCAGCAAGTCCTGCAGATACCATGTCCTGTCAGCTTCTGCATAGGCTGTGATCATTCCACAGGCACTTCCCAGAGCACAGCCCAGCTTGGCACCTCTGAGCAGCACCCAGGGATGTGCAGAGCCAACAGCTCCCTCCTGCCCAGGAATGCTGCCAGCCCCGCCTGCTCCTCCCAGCTCCCCATCACCACCACCTCCAGCCATTCAGGACCAAGGCTGTTCTGTGGTCCCCAGAAGAAAGAGAACTTAAGCAAGTGCAAAAGGCACACGAGCAGCTAGCACGTGATCTGTACAAAACACTGTGCCAAAATACTGCAATAAGAGGTAGAAGAGGAAGAAAAAGAAAAGAAGCAGCTACTACTCCATTTAAGGTGACTGATTAAAGAAAAAAAATGACAGGTCATTTTTAATTCCTTGCTGGCAGTAGCTAGTCTCATTTCACTGCCTTTAATTTCTCCTTAGGTCTATCTGCAAGTTTAATAAAGTCTTTATGCATGCTCAGGACTTGTTCACTTAATTGAGTGAAACTAGAAGCCACAGTTATGCCAGAAGGTTTTATTAGGATATTAGAGAATAATCAGCAATCTTTTCCCAACCTATCCCCAATTAGATTGCACAAAGATTCAGCTGATGTTATATTTAACTGCAGGCTTACTACACTGTCCACTGCAGTCCTTAGAATCAGTCAGACATGAAAAACTTCCCAAGTACAGGGTCTCCCCACTCAAGGAAATAAAGGAAAGAAGTTAAAAAATGTGTTAACATTGGTATTACCACTGCAATGTAGTCCAAGAAATTCCAGCCCACACAGCTGTGCTTGTATTTACAACCTCTCCCAATGAGTCCATGTCACATTTAAGAAGAATAGAAAAATATAATACTTGTTGCAAACTGTGCTGCTGTGCCAGTGTTACATGTTGGGGTATTTTTCATCTGTGCAAACTCACTAAGAAATCCACTTGTCTTTCCAGTCCATCCCTGTTTTCTAGTATGCTGATAATACACCCTGATCCTTTAGTCACTGGTACGCTACTTGCAACATTGCTTCTAAATTGTTTTGAAGGTAGAGCTTTCTCCTTCAGGCTTCTAAAAATGGACTTTACCCCCCACTTAGCAGCTGAATAATTACTGGCTCCATGTTGTCTGGGGGCTGGTTTCAAAAGCAGGAAAAATTTGGCAAGATGTTCCACTGTCAGTTTAGGCTTTCTTCACACTTTCTCCCCTGAATCGACATATTCCTCATCATTTTCCCCTTTCTTTTCCATTCTTTATTATACTTGATAGTCATCCTCTGCTTGTGTTATGCTCCCTTATTCTGAACTTCTCTACCCAGCTACCATTAACTATTTTTAGGACTTGATATGTTTACATCCTCTCTTAAGATCACTTAAACAGAACAAAGGGCAATTTTAAGCAATGAACTGAACTCTGAAGATGAGAAACAGGGTGGAGCAGGCCCACGCTGTTTTAGGAAAGGCAATTTGGAAACTGGGAACAGAAAGCTCAGTTCCTAAATGACTGGAGCCTGCACGAGGGCGTTTGATAACAGCGGCATCTTGCTCACGCTGCTCTGAACAGACTGACTGTGCAGTCCCTCCAGACCAAATACCTGCTCCAACAGAGCAGAGCAGCAAACTGCTTCTAGCTGGAACAGCTGGTAATGCAATACCCAAACCTCCACCACACTTCCTCTGATAGGCTCCCACTTCACTAGAGCCTACAGTTTTTAATTCCTTGCACTAGAGCTAAGGGAAAGCCAGGTGACCTTGGCAACACCTCAGCATCCCACCCATACGAAGTTCAAGAACAGCTGCAGAACAATGTTCAGTCACAGACTGGCAAAAAAAAAATTGACATAGATTTATCAGACTGGAAATGTAGTTAAAGCATGTGTGAACATTATTCCCCTCTCTCAGACTTCAAGAACAGTTCACAGAGTCTAGAAATCATTTGTGGATAGTCTTGCAATTAAACAGTGCCATCCATCACCTTTGCCATGCAGAATTTTCATACACACACACACACACACACACACTTTCCTCAAAGAATGCTTCTGGAGAAGTTTTTGCTCTTAATATCTGTGCTCAAAATAATTCATTTTGAATAAATTTTGCCTTTATGATGACCATTTTTTTACACTAAATTTCAAAGGCCCCTACTTGGTCAGGATTGGTGGTTTGTGTACAGGCCTGGCACAAATCTCTATCTGAAAGAAGTAAAACTTTATCATTCTGCTGATGTGTTTTCAACCTGTCCTCTGCCTGCCAAAATATAACCCTTGAAAGCAGACTCCATATGACTTGCCCCTCAACTATAGATCCTGTCAACTTGCATTATCCATGGTAACAGTAATATTTAAGAAACACCCTCCAGCAAAATGCTTACACTGTTTTTCTGGCTTGAGCTGAATAAATAGCAGATATCAACAGTACTTCAAACATATTTTAATGCTGATAAACAGCTCAAAGTGGATTTTTTGTTTTTTAAAACCTATTAATAGTTTACATCACATTCTTTACTTTCATTCAAAACCTGTATTTTTAATATTAAAATGATTTTATGCTTAGTAGCAGCCAGTTGTAGGAAGAAAAGTAAAGGAAATTAGGAAAGGTAAACAGCTCTGAAGGGCTCTTTCTTCTGCCATCAAAGTACAGTTAACCATTTTTTATTTCATCTTAAAATGCACTTTTGACTGCCTCTGCCATGTGTCAGTTTACTGAGGAAAATCTGCACACAAATCTTTATAACTTACATTTTAAAGTCATCCATGTGTTTTAATGACAAAGACAACAGAACTGCAACCTGGAAAGACACTGGAAATACACAATGTTAATTGATTATCACGCCAAACTGATCTTTCCAGATGAAGTAAAAGCAAGATCTGACAAATGTACGTAGCTCCTGATTACTAACAGCCTCCAGTGAAATGATGACAACATGACTACATGGCTTCCTTTTACAAGCTCATTTACAATATGCTTTGTGATGATATTTAAACAGTAGCTAGTGCCAAATGGGAAATGCTGATTATATTGGTAGTCTTCTTCAAAATAAGGAAGTACAGGTTCATCCTTGTTTTAGGTTTCCTAGGAAAATAAACTTGCTTTATCATCTTGTCTACCTGCTATCTCTACCTAACAGTAGATTGAAACCCTGAGGAATATGGAGAACAAGTAGCTGTGAATTATGTACAATTTAAAGGCTATCATTATGGGGAAAGATATGACAGTAAGAGGTGTAGGGAATTCAGGCACTAACTCACAGAAAATGGCAGACCAGTATTTCTGCTGCTCAAGGAAAAGCTTTTTCCCAGCTGTCAAACTTAGGAGAATATTTTGGTTTTATTCACTCCATGAGGGTAAATAAAAAACAATGGTATTTTTCATCTCTTTTCCAAAACTCTGACAAACTGAAGTGCAAACCTACATATACAGGAATGCAAACAAAACTGAATAGCAGCAGAATTCTCCTATCCAGGAAGCCTACCACAGACTTCACTCGTTACTGCTGCAACAGATATAATCCAGCGCCAAGGAAAACCAGAAGAGATGCAGAATGAGAATTGCTATTTTTACTGGAATCAGCAAAAAATGACTTTATCTGCATATATGGATAATGTGGAATCAATTTTGCATAGCATCAAATGACAAAAAAGAACCACAGTTCTTCAGCAGAAGTCTGACATTAGTACCTTGAAGTTTAAAAGTAAAATCCAGCTTTGAATGGGAGCACACATGCTTTGGAAAGTCCACAGTAGGTTTGTTCGTATGCTGGCCAAAACAGGTCCCCAAATGCAATCTGTTCCAGCTAAAGCAGAAACCATTTCTGCCTCAGTCTGTGCACAGGCTGGGCCAGGGAGGTGCACTTGTGACCCTCAAATACCTCCCCACAGCACCAGCCAAAAGGTGCAGCACACAGCCACTAAAAACTCAGTGTTTCATATCATCTGGCTCACTTGGCTCTCATACTTTGCAAATTTTATTGCAAATAAGAAACAGTAGAATGAAATACATTCAAGTATACATTAGAAAGTTAGTAGGCATCATTTACAGACAGTGTGTGTTATTACAGGCTCCAAAGATACGTAAAACATCTTGCATTCATAGTCTTGACGTGAAAAGGCTAAAACATGGTATTTTTGCCTGAAACTCTGCTAACAACAACACATAGTTGCTGCAGTTTAAAAATATCCCTTCTACATTCTCTTTAGAAAAAACTATAAATAGCCTGTAAAAAAAACAAAACAAAGTGACTTTAACATCTCTGTTATTTGAACAAATAACAGAGTAATTCAACATTAGGCGTGGACTTAAGGTCGCAAATTTCAAAGACTATAAGGAAAACAGAAAATTAAGGACAAAACCTTGCATGAAACATGCAGAAGGAAGGAAGGAAGGAGCAAATATCCTCTTGCTAATAAATTGCTACCATCAGCAGACAGTGCATAAATCAGCACCGCTCAACTGTGAAGATTGCTGGATTATATATCAGAGTTTTTAACAATTTGCTTACATAGCTCAGCCAGTTCAGAGTTAAGAAAGAAGCCTCTTGTCAAATAATTCCGTTGGACCTGTTCCTGCTGCTACTGATGCCAATAGGAGTGTTGCCCTAGAATTCAGGAAGAGCAGGACAGGATCCAAAGTTGTGGTGTGATCAGTTTTGCTGTTTATATCAGTGCTGTAACTATCAGTCTCCAAGTGGAGATGATGCTACCACCAATGGTAATGAGACTTATCAACACCAATTCCATTTGCAGCCTGGCCTTCATCCAAGACTTCTACAGCAGTGAAGTAAATTACATTCAGGCAAATTAAAGAATCCATCCACTAATCAGATTTTAACTTTTATTGTCATCAAAAAGTTTCCATCAATGAAACTTTTATTCTAACACAGTTCTAAAAATTTACTCACTAAAGGGATCCTTTGAAAATCTCATCTATAGGTGCATGCACAAAAATTCCTCTTGAAAATGTTAACTTTCTTCTGATTCCAGTCTGCCACATAGGTTTAGAAGAAAGCTGTTTCTAAATTAGCTCAAAACGTTTACTGTTGATGACTTGATGGTGACATAGCATATTAAACAGGTTTTGAAAGGAGGAAATGTTGTATCACCACTTTGCAGTTTCTCCTAGTAAACTTCACCAGAGAATCAGAGAATCAATTACAGAATGGCTGGGGTTGGAAGGGACCTCTGGAGATCATCCAGTCCAACCTCCCTGCTAAAGTAGTTTCAACTAGAACAGGTTGCATAGGATCAATTCCAGGTGTGTTTTAAATATCTCTAGAGAAGGCAACTGCACAACCTCTTTGGGCAGCCTGTGCCAGTGCTCAGCCATCCTCAAAGTAAAGGATTTTTTCTTCATATTCATCTGGACCTTGTGTTAAAGTTTGTGCCTGTTGCCCCCGTTCTCTTGCTGGGTGCCACTGAAAGGAGTCTGTCCTGTCTTGTGACACCTTCTCTTCAGACATTTGCATGCACAGATGAGGTCCCCTCTCAGGGC